TGACCATGGGCCCCTCGAGTCTAGTTCACTTTTTGTTTTTGAAGATTGGAATGGTGTTAGTGGAAATTTCCATGGAACACAGAACATTGCAAACCAGGTAAAATTGCACCCCTGCGATATACTCCTTTGGTACCAATTTTAATACTGTTTTGGAACTTAGGGCCTTTGAAGCTCAAAATTATTTTCAAACACAAATTCTCTAGACTGATCTCCATACATTTTGTTAAAGAGTTAGTTGAGAGAATTTGATAAAGGATCAAAGCATTTCTCTTTAAAGTGATCATTTTACTAATTCTCATAACCTTCTCTTGATATTGCATTAATTTTGTTGGTAAAAGATTGTTGTTGGTCACTCTTAGTTTTTATTTATTAATAAATATAAATAACAATTATGTAATTTACAACTGATTGTAACTTCTAGGTGCCCAGTTGCATGTATGGAAGGCAATGAAATTTACAGTGTAGTTTACCTTTTTCCTTTATTTTTTATCATAGTGTTCTAACGTGGAGCGGCAGCATGCTGTTATAGAATACAATGAGGCACAGGGTTGGTTTGTGGTTCAAGATCAAACTCAGCACATGATACTTATGTAAATGATTGTCGTGTACAGACTGCAGCTGTGAGACTTGGCTCCAGTGATGTAATAAGGTTTGGATTTGGTATCCTTTTAAAAATGACAACAACAGTAAAAGAAAGTGTGTGGTGAGTGTAGTCCTAATTAATGCCCCAATATGACTGTTGTTGACAGTGACTGACGTTTCAACAACCTTAAGTCATAGTCAGAGTCAAAGTGAGTTGTATCTTTTCAGTTGATGATATTTGATATTTTGCTTGATAATAGTTAAATGAATTAACAATGTATACCTAATGTATTTGATTACAAAACTTCCTTAACATGCATACAACTAAACAGGAAATGCAGGTTTTGAATTTCTTGTTGATTCATCCTCAACACTTCATTACCCATCCTGGGTCTGTCTAAGCCATGAAAATCATACAGACTCCGTGTTCTGTCTTCACCAATGGCAACGTCACAGTCGGTTGGAGTCACCTCCCTTCCTTATATCAACACTGTGAAACCAGTGAGTACTGATGTTGTACCACTGTATACAAGCACTGAACCAGTCAGTTTGCCTGGGACTAGTGGCTCAGTGTCAGAAATAAGAGGCCCATCTGATCCAAAGGTTAGTAAGTTTTTCTGAATGGCAGTGTGCAAAGAAAGTCATGTCTGATAACTTGGGGCTAGTGGATTGTGTGATTGGGGCTAGTGAATTCTGTTCTTAATTTGCCTGACAGGCAAGTGAAGATTTTTGGTGAAATTGAAATTAAAAGATACTAAGGTAGATTATTCAGTCAGAGGCTTGAAAGAAGCAACCCAGTACTCCCATTGGGAGTCAAACCTATGACCTTGTGGTTACTAGTTCAGATGCTCTACTACTAAGCTACATGAGACTCTTGTGAGCTAAGGTTACTAAACTGGGTTCATGTGACAAACATATTCAATACTGCGTGGACTAGACTATTGATATGTGATGGAAATGTGATTGCAAATTTGAGGCCTGGTATATATGGTACAGGTCAAAATTAAATTCAGGTAAAAGGTTGATTCTCAGTTCTCCTTGTCTCCTAACCCGAATAATATTAATGCATTAGAGCTGGGAGACAAAGAAAATTGAGAACCAACCTAGGTTAAAATTTTATCCTGAATTTAATTTTGACCTAGCTCTAACAAATACAAAGTCAAGAGGTGTTTATTTACTAAGTGACACAGGCAGCTCTGACAAAAAATCTGAGTGCTCCCAATAGGAGTAGAAACTATGATCTTCTGGCTACTAAACCATGCTCTATAAGGTCACTATTAAAAGTAGGTTCTTCCACAAATCTTTTTAACTCTGTGGCAGGATTTGCTTATTGTAGTGTGTTTGTTTTTCAGGCTAATGTTATGCCACACCCTCCTCTGAGATCTCGCCCAACAAGTGCTGGTGCTACCAGGACTCGACCCAGCTCTTCTGGCAGAGAAAGGATAACTGGTCCTCCTGTTGCTAGAGGTAACTATCATCATCATTATCATCATTATTATCATCCAGCCTTTTCAGTTGGGATGCTGTGAATAATGATCTTATTCCATGCATTCCAGTCTGACATCGTGCTCGCAAGGTCCTCCCTGTTAATTCTGGAATTTTTCAAGATCAGATCGGTGAATGAACACGGCCACTTAATTTTTTTCCGTAGAAGAAGGGATTGAATGATCGCCCCCTAAACCTATAATATACAATATTACATGATGGTGCAAAATAAAGGGGAAAGCAGTAAATAAAAAAAATGTTTAAGTGAAGTTGGGCAGCCAAAGAAGAATATTACATTTCCGTTAGCAAGAAGTTTAAGGTGATAAGTCCAAAAGTAAGAAATGAGAGGAAATGGGGTTTTCAGGAGAATGTTCACCAGAAACGGTACACTGCACTGTATACTATTTTGAAGTAGACTAATCAAGTTGGACATTTTTTATTAAAAGTGAATTTCTGAATATGACTGGACTAGTCTGGCTGGTCTGCAGTTCTGATGGAGTTAAATTTATAAAGATTTGTTTATTTTGTTGCTTATATGCTTCATTTGCAGTGGATTTTCATGGTTTATTTAAGACCATTTTTAAAATGAAATCCTTGCAGCAATTTTTTGGTGGCTTTTACGACATTTTACCTCATTCTCATATGAATGTGAGAATTTTGACAAAAAAACATAGCATGGAATAATGACAATTACATGTATGCAGTAGTATTAGTAGTCACCAGAGATTGAAATCAAACTGCTTATGTTTCTTTAAAATTGTATGCTAACGTCAAGGGCGCTGTAAAATCTCTGTGATACTTTCCTCTAAAGCATTCATAGGCGGGAGAGGACAGGGGTTAGGGAGCTCAGAAGGATAGGCAGCAGGAGGGATATGGTTGGGGGGGGGGGATAGGGAGCACCGAAGGATAGGCAGCAGGAGGGATATGAGGGGGGGGTAGGGGAGCACAGAAGGATACGCTGCAGGAGGGATGTGAGTGAGAGGGGGGTAGGGAGCCCAGAAGGATAGGCAGCAGGAGGGATATGAGTTGGGGGTAGGGAGCACAGAAGGATAGGCTGTGGGAGGGATGTGAGTGAGAAGGGGGTAGGGAGCCCAGAAGGATAGGCAGCAGGAGGGATATGAGTGGGGGAGGGGGGGGTAGGGAGCCCAGAAGGATAGGCTGCTGGAGGGATATGAGTGGGGGGGGTAGGGAGCCCAAAAGGATAGGCTGTAGGAGGGATATGAGTGGTCGGAGTTCTAAAAGTGCTGGAAGCCAGAGCTTGCGTGTAATATTTTGCAATTGAAAAAGATCTAAAGGGAGGAAACCCCAAGGATTGAACTCCCTTTTAAAAGCCATATAGGTATGTACTGCCTCAAAGGGGAGGGTTATTGGGCCGTTTCAGTCTGAAAAGGGGTATTGACTTTGCACATTTTGGTCTGGCATCAGGAATAATGGTTTTCAAGGGAACTACAGGGGTATATGAACATGTTTGTCATTTCAGTTACAAATGAACAAGAAAGCAAGATAATATGCGAATTTGAAGTGGATTTTAAACAAATCTAAGTAATTTTAGGTCTGAAAACAGGTCTGGCTTTTGGAGGCCAGGTCTGAAAATGGGTGTGGATAATGAAATTTTTTGGTCAGAAATAGCGTTAGGATCCCCACCAAGATTTCCCAAAAATACCCCACCGGGGGAGGAAGGCAAGAAAAAAAGGGAGGAGCCAGTAATGCAAGGTATGGGAGGTAGGAAGTTTAGACCCACTCCTGTCCCCCCTGATAATAATACTGAGACTTTCATGTGAATTGTCTCCTTAATTTACAGGTGGATAGATTAATGGTCCAGTGCAGATAACAGGGGAGCAAAGCATTGAAGATCTGGTAAGCTTCTTTGAGCTGCAGTGAAATTTGTTGTCTCAAAACCTTCTTTTAGTGGAGGGTTGATGGTATGTACGCTGGGGAGCCAAGCCGGGGGGGGTACTCCCTATGATGACCTATGCGGGGGGGCTCAGCCCAAAAGGGGTTTGTTGTTCAGGCTTCAGGTATATAAAAGGTAGGGATTTCACTGGTTAAAGTGTATAAAAGGGTAGGGGTAATCTGTCATTTGGGTCTTTGAATGGGTCCAAAAGATCTAACAGATGAATTTTATGGTTTTATGAAGTCGACAAAACGTTCTATTTTTGTGATTGATACCTATTCAAAAGACAGTGCAGTTGAAAGGGATGCAAGCGTCTAAACAAGGTACATGCGAAAGCGGTACCATTTGTCAATAGAGGGTGTACGAAAGGGGTACCTTTTTCGTGAAAAATAGTACATAAAAAGGTAAGGGGTTGGACCTCGGAGTAGAGCCTCCCTGTATATACATTCGTTCAGTACCTTCCCGCCCCGGAAGCCAAGTCCTTGTGTGGAGCTATGAGGTATTTGGAACGGTTTTTGGGGAGGGCACGGATGCCATAGAAATATTATGCTGCCTGGTAGGCTCATTTATCGTTTAAAATTGTCTCACAAAAGTCTTTGTCATTGATTGCTTTGTTTAAAATTTAAAATTCGTTTAAAATTGTCTCACAGAAGTCTTTTCCATCGACGGCATATTGCTGGTCACTCAGGTGATGGTGTCGAATTAGGACCCTGAATAATGTTAGTAATGTATATCGTAATTGCTTCAGCTTGGTGCATTATGGAAGCCGCAATGCATGCTGAATATTTTTCAAGACAAAGGTTCAGCAAGGATCTTTTCTGACCTTGAAATTTGTCACTTTTTGCATCGTATAGGGTTCTCAATTTTAATGTAAAAACAATTGAATAAATTTTGTCTGCTTACTTTTCCGACCAAATACCCTTGGAACTTCAAGTGTCACAACTTACCAAATCTTATCCTTATCTTGACTATCTTGTGTCACAGTTTGTTTTGTTTTTGTTTTTATTTTTATTTTCTCCAGGAGGAGCGTCTGTGACGC